ATAGGCTGGAGCATGGGAAACAGGGGGGAGATGAGCTCAGGGCATCAGCTGAGGAGCACTGTTTAGCTCAGGGACCAGCAAACTTTTCCTGTAAAGGGTGAGACAGTAAGATATTTCGCCTTGCGGCCAGATGGCCTCAACTCTGCCATTGCAGCTTGAGAGAGGCCATCTGTAATGAGTGGGTGTGGCTCTGTCCCAATAAAACTTTATTTTATTTTTGTTGTTTGGTGCTTGGCTGGTTCGGGGACCTGAACCCGTGACCTTTGTGTTATGAGGCTGAAAACTTCATTTATGGAAACTAGGATGTTAATTTCAAATAATTTTCATGTGTCACAAAGTGTTATTCTTTCTAAAAAATTTTTTTCTTCCCAGTCACTTACAAGTGTAAAGACCATTCAGCTCTTGGGATGGACAAAAATAGGCATTGGGAGGATTTGGGCGGCTGCGAGCAGTTTGCGTTTTATGCTGAGTGAGGTCTCTGGAGGCTCAAGCAGGAGACAAGATCGAATGCAGGCGTTAGGAAGCTGGCTCTGGCTGCTGGTGGAGAAGGGTTGAAGGGTACAAGGGCAGAAGCTGGAGACCAGGGAGGATGTGTCCGGCCGGTGGAGCCTGCAGGGATGCGGCCAGGCCAAAGTGACAGCTGTGGAGGAGTGAGAAGAGGCAGACCTGGGCACAGTTTGTAGCCAGTGGGGTTGGCTGGTGCATTGGGTGTGGGGTGACAGAGAACACCTGGGGCGATGCCAGGACTCGGCTGAGCCTCTGGTGTGATGGCAGTGCCCAGGGTCCACTGCGGTGGGCTCTGAGGGGCATTGCATCTGAGCTTGTACAGGATCCAGGAGGACAGGTCAAGGGGATGATTGGAAATCTGGGGCCTGGGCCAGGAGATCCATTTCAGTCTCCTCTCTGAAGGAGCCTGGAGGGTCATTCCCCCACACCCCGCAGTGTGAGAGGAGGAAGAGCCCTCAACACCCCCTCCCAGTCGCTCATCACCAAACTCTCCATTTACCTGCCTCTGCCCCCTCCCCTCCCTCCTCCCGTCCCAAGATGACTAGGAATAATCACAGACCACACCTACGTGTGAATCCTCATCCAGCCCTCATCAAGCCAGCAGTGTTGATGGGAAGGCACTTAGCAATGTCTAGAGGCATTTGTGGTTGTCATAAATGGGGGAGCTCCTGGCATGGAGTGGGTGGAGGCAGGGATGCTGCTCAGCACCTGCAGTGCCCAGCATGCCCCACCACAAAGAAGGATCCCTCTCTGAATGTCCACAGTGCCCCCGTGGAGGTAGCCAGCTTTACGACGTCCATTCCATTATTTATCCCATTTAGCAGGTGAGAATTGAGGCCCAGAGAGGGGAAGTGACTGGCCCAAGGTCACACAGCAGGTATAACATTACCAAGCTGCGTTCAAACCCCTGCCACTTGTCTGCAGGGTCACTGGTCTTCAATTCAGGTTCTGGAAGACCTTGTCCGTCCATCCCCCCTCTCTCTCCTATAATCCCAACCTCTCCCCATCTGCCGGCTCCTCCCCTTTGAGAATTTGCAGCCACATCAGCACAGAGGACTGTCCTGCCTCCTCTGTGGCTCCCCCGATCTGTACACTCCTGGTTTCCCTCCTTCCTGGGAAGCCCCTCCCTGGCCTCCATTGCCAGCAGCTCCTCCTCTGTCCCAGCCTTAAGTATTGGGGACCCCCTACTTGGTCCAGGACCCCCACAGTCTTGCACCTTGGATCATCTCCCCACAAGCCCTTGTCTTGCCTGAGCTGTCACTCCACGGTCCAGCCACCAACTGGACATCTCCTCTGGACATCCACCAGGCCCGTCAACACTGGATGGGGTTTGGACTAAACTGAGTATCTCCCTCTTTCAAAACACTCCTTCTCCAGGATCCCAACTTGGTTCCAGACAACCTCCACAGACCCGATCCGCCTGCCTTCTGCCTCTTCTGCCACATCTCACTCCCCAGTCTCTGTCCAGCCTCCCGCTCTCTCCCATCCACGCATCTCTTCTCACCTGAGTGCCCCCTCCTCAGATTCCTCTCCACCCCCCCCTCCATCGCCCCTGACCCCAGTGCTCCTTCTAAAATGCCAACCACATGCGCAAAAGCCACACGGCGGGGACTTAGCTGTACTCACCGCTGAGTCACCAGGCCTGAGAACAGGTGCCTCGGTGCCTGGCATCCAGCAGGCACTCCATAAATGTTTACTAAACGGCGGAGCATCTCTCCAAAATGTTAACCTGACACATACTGTATTTGTCAGCGCCCCCTAGGTGCCAGACATTGTCCCAGGCACCGGGCTCACTGCAGTGACCAAGACACAGCAGCCCCCAGCCCTCTTGTGGGGCTGACGTTCCCCGGGGGGTGGGCATGGGCAGGAAGAGCACGTCGGAGCTGCGCACGGGCCAGCTCGCTGTCTCCTTGATGAATGAGCCCGTTTGATTGCGCAGTTGCTATATGCCAGGCACGTGTGGCGAGTGCTTTGCATGTAGTATCCCACTGAGGCTTCCAGCAGCCCCCGCGGAGGAACGATTCCTCATGAGACCCATTTTACAGATGAGGAAGGGGGAGTCCAGAGCGGGTAAGTATCTCGGCCCGTCTCGTCGGTAGGAAGCGCGGGGCTGGGGCTCTGGCTTCCCACGCAGTTGCTCAGACTGCAGAGCCCCAGCGGCGGGCGAGCGAATGAATGAACGGGTGGGGGAGCGAGAGGCAGCAGCGACAGGGATGTCCAGGTCCCAGGCCCGGAGGCACCTGCGCGCCCCGGGTCTGCTCGCAGCAGGCGGAGATGGACGCCAGAGGGTCCCCTGGAGAGCCGGTCAGGGTCCCCTTCGCCGCACCCTCCTCGTGGCGAGAAGGTCAGCTCAGGCCACGGGCGGGGGCAGTGGCAGGGAGGGGACGGCGCCGGGGTGGGCAGGGCCCGGCGGGCGGGGCG